AACACAGAGATGGCAACTAGTCTGGATCTCTTACTTTCACAAAAGCGAAAACAAAAGCTCCTCTGATCATAAATGTAAAAACTAATTGGCAGGTTTATTTTGGTTCTTAATGCAAGAATTCGATACAATTTATCTCCTAAAAATTTAGAATGTTTTTAGAAACTATCCATTAAATAAGTTTTTATGTTAAAAGAAAATTTCAATGTAAATGATTAAAAGAGACATTTTAAAAACCTAACATACATTTTTTTTTATAAACAACTAATTTAATTATTTTTCTTAATCTTTATATGCATAGTAGTTATCTGCTGATTTACATTTAGAACAGGTGAGTGTGTGTGTCTGAAGAGTAATAATAGAGGAAACAGAATAGATGCGTGTAATGAGTAGGAGATATAGAACTTGGGTAAAGCTACAATTTTTTGTTTCACTTTCTGTGAATATATGAATAAGGAAAAGAGTTTAGAGAGGCAGAGAAGAGACAAGTTTTATTGGGAAAAACACATTGTAGAATTCAAAAGTTATTAATCCTAGCCGACACTAGTAAACATGAATTAGTGGAGAATCACTTGTTTCCTTTTCAATCGGCTTTTGAACATCCCTTTTTGAACCGTCCGTACAACTATAAAAGTTGGTAACTCATCTGTTCTTTCTTTCTTTCTTTCTTTTTTCTGGAATAAATTACAATTAACTCCAGGAGTACATGTGTGTGTGTGTGTGAATATCTTGATGAGTTATATATTCATTGAAAAATAATATTATTCGTGAAGAATTCACAATTTAAACATCTTTTGATTAGAGTATCTAAATGAGAAGCAATTAATTGACAATTAGGAAATTGACAATAGGATGCCGCATATATATGTGGTGTTTCCTGATTGATTTATATATATTTATATATATATAAGTTTGGGGAAATTAGTATAAATGACGAAAATGCAAGCTAATTTGGTAGAGATCAGATGATCAAGAGAAAAATAAGCCTATATTTTATGGTCTTTTTATGCCAAGTTTTATTTCCTTTTTTAATTGCACAATTTAAACACATGCGCGCACATATACAAACATATTAATACCAAACTTAGACGTGGGATCATATCCAAGTATGACGGGTGGTATTGTCATTGGAGTAACTTGATGTTTATTCCTAAAATTTATTCAAATTACTAATAAGTCACGATTAACAATATATATATATATATACTCCTCCGGTCCTAATTATAAGACCCAATTGACTTATTTGAGGAGATTAAGGAAGTAAGTTAAGTTAGTTATTTATAATAAATAAGTGTTGTTATTCCTAAAATATCCTTGTTAATTAAGTATATTGGCTAAAACTATTATTATTAGAAGGATTATCTTGGAAAAAAATGCATAAATATAAGAGAGAAAATGAATTGGGTCTTATAATTAGGACCAAATAAAAAGTCAAATTGGGTCTTATAATAAGGACCGGAGGAGTATATATATAATTTCACTCTTTTCATGGTTGGTGATAGAATGAGAGAAATTAAAGCAAGCTGGTCATGGAATTTTTCCCCAAACATAATCATTGATGCATGAAACAATAATTCTATCCCCAACATTCACCAAACAACCCATTCTTTTATTCATAATAATATGCCTTGGATCGAAATACGAGAGTGATTAATTAAGGATCTAACTTTAATTTTCTTCTTCTTCTTCTTCGTCCTCTTCTTTTTGTGTGTCTGATTTTTTTGCTGCCGAATGATATTTTAGTCATCATTTTGGTTGGATAAATGTGATGTATGTTTGATTCTTTTTCAAAGGCTGTGGGCTGATAATTTGAATTACAAAAGCAGTCAGCCTGAGATTTTGACTTCGTGTTTCATATACATGTGCGCGCGCGCCTCTCATGTGTTGCATGCAATACTATGTATTCCATACTTACATGTTACTCACTATAATCCTTAATATAATTAAGAGATTAATTTGGATACATTAAAAAAGTTAAATTAAATAAATTAATTTATTATAACAGATGTGACATGATTTCATTAAAATAATCCTGTATACTCCCTCCATTCCTTATTATAAGAGACATTTGATACTTATGGCATGTTCCTATATATAAGAGACACTTAAAAGTTGTCTCTATTTTTTTGTGTTGATTTCCTAGTTTACCCATATTTATTGTCTCAAACTCACACTCTCTCTCCTTCTCACTTCTCTTTCTTTTAATAAATTACCATTGTGCTCTCTTACGTTCTCTCTCCTTATTAATGAGGGCATTTTTGGAAAAAAAATTATACTTTTTACATATTAATTGTTTTTAACTAATTTTAACTGTTTTTTTGATCAACGTAATTCGGTTATTCGTCTCTTATAATAAGGAACGGAGGGAGTAACATATAAGATTAGTTTGAAAAAATATGGTAATGAATATGAGAAATAAAAAATGTAACTATCAACCCGTTCTTATATTAAGAATCTGATGTGATGGCGTATTTCTTCTTTTGAATACAAGGTAAGTACAGCAACGATTTTAATCAACAGAGGTTTAGGTTTCATATGTTTCAGATGTTTCATAAATGTATGCGCTGCCCAAAGTCTACAAAGTCATCATGATCCCATGTTTTTATTACTGGTTTAATTTGAATATGCTAAAGAAATCTATGAACCCAAGTTTTGACTCCAGGTTTCAATATAAATGTGTCGCACGGAGCTTACAAAGTAATGACTTCACATAAGCAACAACATGATGAACAAGTCTTCATTCCTGTTACATACATTAATTGACTTTATTAGTTTACAACATGACTCATTTATAATTCATAAATAGTATTTCTCTGGTCCTATTTATAAGTCACTTTTGACATGTACCACATAAACAAAAAAAAAACCTTAAACTTCATTAAATGTTTTTTTAAAGTTCAATAACTTTTCAACTTATCCTTATTTAATATATATATATATTATATCCTATGAAAACAAAATTAACACAATAATAAATAAATAATAAAATTATATATATTTAAAAAATTTCTCTCTCTGTCATAGGAATAGGATAACAAAATTTCTTTTCTTTTTACCCTATAAATAGGATTAGAGGAGTATAATTTAATAAAAAATTTTATATTAACTATATATAGATACATAGATTGGGATTTAGTTAAGATTTGATCCAATTCGAAAATTATTATAATTACTCTAATTATATATATTGTGGATATTTCTATTGTTCCTATATATTTATTCACTTACAATACAACATGTCGTTTGCCCTTCACTTCAAAATAATGTCATTCACTAAATTAATTAAATTGGTTCAGGTGATGATTTGGTCTTTATTTCTTTTAAACAAATTCTCTAAGTTTGAGCCTTTTGTAAGGAACAAATTGTTTTTTTTAGGGGAGCTTTATGCCCATATGATTTGACTCAAATTAATCAAAATTCAATGTGACTTTCAAAAACTAATTGAATACTAAATCGGTGTAAACATATTACACCGACTATATTTACAGTAATCACAAAACCAATTAAAAGGTATTTTTTAACTGATGTAAAATGGCTTTCTTATTCTGGTGATTCTCATATATATATATATATATATATATATATTTGAACATAAAAAGGGAAGGGGTCCTATCAATAATATTTGAGAGAATCCATGGGTGCTCTTGCCTTTTGTTGCCTCACTTTTAGAAAAAAATAGGAGAGCTGTGAATTTTGAGCAAAGCTAGTATCTATTAATTTAGTCTCGTTGAAAATTAAAGTCTCTTTTAAATAATAATGTTTCATTTTAGGATTGTGTCTTGCGTATTTTTATTATTAAATGCCTCAATTTTTTTAATTTGTTGAATCACATTTTCTGTTTAAAATTTATTTTTAAATTTAAAAATTGGATTTTTATCATGGATTTTATTTTTAAAATAAATTTTTCAAAAATTTAAAAAAAATTACAATTTTAAGCATCTAAACTTAATTTTAAAATTTGAAATATAAGACAAGTCACTGTTCATCCGCAATGATCCACCACTTTATTTTAGGGTTAGTTTAGAGTTTAGATTCTACCCTTTTTATCTTTGAGTTATTAATTAAATTTTTTTTATTTTATCTAAAATTAAAAAGCTAAATTAAACAAATTATTAAAATACCATCTTCACAGTCTGAATTGAATTTAATTGATCGCACTGTTTATCTGTTATTTTAGATAAAAATTCTAGAAATTTATAATTTTAAACACCTAAATTTAATTCAAATTAAACAATTGAAATAAAGGACAAGGACATCGTTCATACCTTACCAGACCAAAATTCTCATGTTTTTGGGTTAAGCTCCATATAACACTTTAAAGTATTTTTTTCGAGTGCATATTTTACGGTGCATCCCATATTCTGAAATATTGTTTAGGTAGATCCAACATCCTAAAATATTTGGTATTGCATTAAGTACCCTGAAATATAGTTCAGGTGCACAAACCATTATAAAGTTTTTTAATGTGTTAGATGCACCTAAAAAATATTTTAGGGTGCTAGATACTCAAAAAAATACTTCACAGTGGTAGACGTACTTAGAAAAATATTTCAAAGTATTAGAAGTATCACAAAATACTTCAAGATGCTGGATACACTTGAGAAAATACTTTGGGGTGCTAGATGTATCTTAACTTATGTTTTTTATTTTAAAAATTTACAACATTTATTATTTGTTTTAAAAAATACTTTACGGTTCTGGATGTACAAGAAATACTTAACAGTGTTAGATGTACTTGAAAAAAATATTTTAAAGTGCTAGATGATCACAAAATACTTCAAGATGCTGTATGTAGTGGAGAAGATACTTTAGAATGTGGATGCACATTAACTTTTTATTTTTTGTTTTAAAAATTTAAAATGTTTTTTTACTTATTTTTTAGATCTCTGTTATTTGATTGGCATAACTTTTTTAAATTTTAAAACAATTTACAGCGTCGTCGGCACTTTTGAGCACTACAAATTCAGCCTCACTCCCCCACTTCTGTCCCATGCCAATTCCTCCCCACTCTTCTTAACACACGCACACACTCCCTCCCTCTCTCTCTCTCTGTGTTCAATTCATAACAAATCCAAACCCTTCTTCTTCTTCTTCTTCTTCTTCACATAACTCAGAACACTCTGTTCTCAGCTTAGAAAACAGAGCACTCTGTTTCCAATCCACATGGCTGCAATTGTGTGCCACGGCTTGCAGTCATGCCTCGAGCCTCAGTTCGTCGAATCAAGAGCTCTAACGCTCAGTTTTCCTTTCTCAACACCTCACAATCCTCAACAAATCCCCATTGATTTACCCTTCAAAACAAGTTTCTGGGATTCAAACAGCAAAACCCAGGAAAGGCCCAACAACAAAACTGACACCAGTAACACAGGATGGAGCTTTCTTCAAGCTCTGTCCAATGTCTCGTACGTTTCCAAGGATTCAACCGAGAAAGAAAGCGTCTATGTTCATCCTCAGGCCAAGCGATCTTCCACTGCCATGAGTCAGAAGAGTCTTGAACTGTGCACTGAGAAGTTAGGCAATGAAACTGGGAGTGACATTGTTGAGAATAATGGCTACGGCATGGATGTGCTCTGTTCATCGCCGACAAGGGATCAGCTAGCAAGGCCACGTCAGGGGAAATCGAGAACCCAGAATTTTCCTCCTCCTTTGACCACCATGAGGGGATCTGAATCTCTGAGAGTGAGAAGCCACCGAGAAGGTGGGAGACTAGTGGTGGAGGCAATCAGGGCCCCACCAAGTGCGTCATGTTTTCAAGCAGAGAGAAGCCATGGCCGCCTTCGCCTCTGTTTTTTGAAAAATAACGACAAGTTTGACCCGGAAGAGACAGATGCATACGATGATAGTGAAGGGGTTGAAGAAGAATGTGAAAGTGACAGCGAAGATAACGAAAGAAAAGAAATGGAAGAAGCAGAAGAAGAGGAACAGGAAGGAGATGAAGATGTAGATGATGAAGAAGAACAAGCAGAGCAGGAGGAGGAAGGTGAAGAAATGACAAGGAAAGAGTATGAGGGGCCAAGAAGGTGCAAAGAAGGAAGCAAACAAGAGAATAACAAATTTTTAAATAACTGGGGAGAGCCTCTCTCGGTGGCTATTTCTTAATCCTTTCTTGGTTTTGGATCTCACTACAGAATTCCAATCTGGATCTCTTTTTGTTCCTTCTCGTCTCTCTTAATTTATATATTTACCTAGCTTTAATATAATTTTTGTCTATTAAATTTGTTTTTATTTTGGTTTTGGTTCATCAAATTTTAAAACATAGGTTTTGATCTCTGAAAGGGGTGAAATGATTCAAGCTTTTATTAGATTATAGGGACTAATGTTATCAGGAAAAGAAACTTGAGAATCAAAACTTATGATTTAAAATTTGAAAAACTAAAATCAAAATCAAAATAAATTTGAGGGACCAAAATTTGTATTACCCCATTTATCTATTACATAATTTTACTAGTGCCTCCATTTGCCTAGTACAAGAACTAATTATGAAATTAGATTTGATTCTAGATATAAAATTTCAATTCATTTTATTTTTTTTATATTTATTAGTTTTTAAAATTAATTTACCTATACTCATAAATTAATATTTAATTAGAGAAATTATGTCACATTTATTATAATTAATTAATTTAATTATTTTAGACTATTTAAATTAGTTAAATAAGCTCTAATATTAAGAATAAGTTGAGTATTACCATTATGAGGCTTAAATAAAAGTATCTCTATCATGTAAACCAAAAAAAAAGTATCTGTATCAATATAACATTTTTTAAAAAAAAATTACCATGTTTGAATCCTTTTACATAAGAAAACATTGAGTTCCTTCATCCAATACAAAGTCGTTTTTTTTTTTTAAATTAGTATGGTTAAAGTATATTGTGAAATTTTGTTCCGATTAATTTTTTTAAAACGAAATGAACATTTAATTTCTACATATCCAAATAAAATTTATTACAGAACAACTGAGAGATAGGGCATTTAGATTGCTCATGAACAATCGTTCTTTTCTTTTTCTAAAGCAACTAATATGTTTTTAGGTCGATGTGACGAAAAATTAAAATAAACTAACATCTATATTTTCTTAAAAAAACATAAAATATTCCAGAAAACTCTGATAAAATATAAGGAAATCCTACGTGTTTTTGACAATAAACTAAAGGCATGTGGTCGGCAGTTATTATCGTTATTCTCAACCTTTCTGGGACAGACATGCCCATTTACTGTCGAAAGCTGCCCTCACTGGTTTCTCTGTGTGTGTGTGTGTGAGAGAGATATATATATATATATAATATAATATAAGCCCAATTTGCTTCTACTTTTATACATACGGCAACATTCAAAGTATTTGACAAAAATAGTGAAAAAAAAATAGGGCGGCCATTAAAATGTGGTGAAAGGAGTAGTAAGCATGAAATGACACAAGTGATGATCAATGGAATCTATCTATATTATAATAAACGAAACCAATACTATGAACCAAACATTACAAATTTGGCATAAAGATGATTCATAGTTTCATGAAACTAGCCACACAGCATGAAAATTATGGGCGGCACTTTTATTTTTTGAAAAAAAAGGGAGAATCAATTTTTTAAAAGCAATTAATGTTATAATTTCATAATATACTTGATGAGTGATGTAGATGTTAAGGTTTTTCTTTATGGATAATACTTATATTAAGTAGTCGAATCTCTTATATTCGTTGTATTAAGTTATTCAATACATGTGTTCCTTTTAAAACATTATCATTAATATTATCATAATTAATAATTAATAATAATACTTTAAAAAGAAGACACATGTTTATGCATGACTGAATAACTTAATATAATAAATATAATAAATTTAGTATAGATATTTTTCTTTTCTTAGTTATAATAAAACATATTTCAGGATAGAAGGGGTTTGCTTGCCTCCGATATTTATTGGCTTCAACAAATTTTGATTCAGATAACTATAAATTTTAGGGATCTCAATGATAAATAACCCGTTTAAATTTTAAATGTAATTTTTGTTACTGAAATTTCTGTTTATTCAATATTTGCAATTTTTTTAAAAAAATTTCTTTGGGACTTAAACGTCCTTAATGCTACTACTACTATCATTATCAACTAATTGAGAGACAAAAACGAATTTATAACAAGAGAAAAGAACAACTAAAATATTTGATAATGGCAGCAACATGACAGGGGAAGCATGTCAAGAACATTTTCTTGCATAACATACTCACTTTTTCTTCTCTTTATTTTCGCTTCCTCTTTTTTCATTTATTTTCCTTTTCCGACCATATATCGCTTTGTCCTTTTAACATGGAAGATGTTTGGGTTACGTCACTTGTGCATGGTCGAAATCTTCCTTCCTAATAATTAAACTGAAATAACCAACGGGACTTGGGATGAACTTGTAACTCACAATACGATAAAATGTTTGTTCCTTAGTGAAAGAGATGCCCACATATAAATATTCAATAGCATTTTGAATAAAATTGTCTTCGGTAAGAATACATGTGCCTAAAAAAACCGGTAAATATGTTACACAACAAAAACCCTATAGATATAACAAAATTTAAACCCAGATTTTGTTCTTTGTAACATGAATGACACGACTCCATTTAAAGTACCTCCTGTTTTTTAAATGTAGAATTTATTTAATTAATATTTGTTGTATTTCATTATCATTGAGGAAATAGGAGTAATTTGGAGGAATGATAATTATGAAAAATAAAGTAATTAAAGTCAACCTTTCAATCAATCCATGCGTTTAAAACCGAAAGTGATTAATATATCTTGCATCTGCAAAACAAAGTTTTCCCTTTAAAGTGAGTTTACATTCATATAATCTCACATTTAATTTATAGTAGGGTAAACTACAATGATTATCTTTCTATTTTATCTCAATTATAAAAACATCTCATTTATTTTGAAAACGTATATAAACCTCAATTACAGTTAAAACATATGTTACACAAACTCCTTCCTATATTTGAGATTTTATTTCTGTCCACCCAAATCATTAGTTGGCCGTTAAATTTGACTTTAAATTATTTCTTTGACCAAAATGCCCCTTTTTAAATTAATAATTATTTAGACATTTATATTTTCCAAAAAATATTTTTATAAAATCAAAAAATAATTATCTTTAAAATTTCTAATATGGTATAAAATTTATTAATTTTGATCTAAATCATAAGATTTTATAATTTTCATATTTTACTTTAAATCATAAAACTAGTTAAATTTTTAATCAAATCTTTTATGTTTGCCTTAACAATGAAATTGATGTAACTGTAAAAATATAATTTAAAATTTATTAGAACGAGGAGTAAAATAATAAATAAATTTTATTTTGATATAAATTTTAGTTAAAAATAATATTTTTAGAATATTCCTAACGGTATTAACTAATTGGATTAAACTATATGTTTTTAAAATAGAAGGAAAGTCTACATGATTGATACAAACTAGAATGATAGTCAGAGTATTTTACTCTTTATAGTAAGGACAACACAACTTGTGGGCTTGTGGCGTTTATTTTTATTCTTTGTCCTGACTTTTTTTTTCTTTCGCTTTTTTAATGTATATCTTTTCCTGGCTATGCTACGTACAGACACTTTTTAATCAATCAGGATGACCAAATATTTTTTTTCTATGATTTACCTCAAACATTTTCTTTGATTAAGGTGAAGATACATCTAGCATCTGGATCTTAATTTTTTGGTGTATTTAGCATTTGAATTTTATTTTCAGTATATCCATTATCTTAAAGATTAAAGTGTTGGGTGTAACTAAAAAAAATGACATGTGGGCTCTGATCGATGACTAGAATTGAATTTGAACCAATTTCTATGAACAACACCTGAATTTGAAATCAGGTTTAAAGGGATCAAACGTAGTTAAACGCCAAACGATATATTATTTGAACCAATTGTTGCTGGCTAGCTAGTTTACGATTCTTTATATCGTTGCAGAAGATTGAAATTGCCAAGGTCATATAAACTAAAAAAGTGTTTTGTTTGTTTGTTTTCTCTGAATCCAACATGATCAAAGCAGGAAAAGAAATGCGCTGCAATGTTCCAAGAAGGAAAAGAGAAACAATAGTGATGAGTGATCTGAATAAGATATGGCTCATGATTCCACCAAATCTGCAGATTTTGTACGGTCACTTTCAAAAATCCTCCCTTCATCTCTTTTCCTTTCCCACAAAAAGTGCACTTGCCTGTGTCTTCACACAAATATATTTTAATTCAGACTTCTCTTAATATGAATTTATTTTCCACATAGGCAAATAAAAATTTATTGACGTAAAAACAACCTTGCAAATATATGATTTTATACAATTTGTACTATTATGGGGGTACTTTTTATGTCGATTGTGGAGGACATTTTATGTTGCATTTGGGAGATATCCCTCTTATCTTTAATATAGTATCTAATTGTTAAATTAATTTTAGTTTTAAATATAAGACTTATTTATCATGTTTATTGATTTTTTTTAAATTACCCTTATAGATACTCCCTCAATCATAATCAAGTAAGTGAGGAAGGAAGGATATTAAGAAAGACGATTATGATATTTTAGGAAAAATATTTTTTATGACATATTTTTTATAATTAACTAACTTACGCCACTTCTTTGATCTAATCAAATTAGTTAAATAGATCTATTTTATTTTCTAAATAAATCTATTTAAATTCTATAAAAAGAATAACTGAAGACCAAAAATAAAAGATCAGCAACAAAAGGAATCTAATAATTAAGTTGATAACTCAAAAAACCAGCTTGGGTAATTATCTTCACTGTGTCGTTCTTGGAGTAATCTAACCCTGTTTGTGTGAGTTCCTTCCAAATACATGTAGTTTTGGTAGTGCAAATTGATATTTATCTATAAGTTCAAACTTTTTCGTAAAGCAAAATCCCAAACGAAAAGAAGAAACCAGTATCTATTGGTGGTTGCGTCTGCACTAGGTAAATCTCCAGCACTAACAGGTATTAGTTCTAATGAAAGGGATTATAGCTGTTTAAACACGATGTCCACAGAAAATATCTTTAGAAAAACTGTTCTTTATTTAAGGAACGACTCGACTCAAATCCGAACTACTCATAATTCAATATAGATTTTAGATATATGATGAACAATTAAAAAAAAAA